TAGGTTGAGTGCGTAGCTGGAGCCTTGCAGGCGGGCTTCCAGTGAGCCGCAAATATTGACAGATAGAGCCTCCAGTTTGCAGGCAAGTAAACAATAATACTGTGTCAGCTGTGCACCGTAACGGCGCTTCGCTGTCACATGACCACCAACGGTCGCGCGTGGGCTGAGCATACCGCGAGCACGTCCGCACCTACGCCGATTCGAACGGGTGATTGCAAGCCAGACGCGAGACCACTCGGCCACCGGGCGAGACAAGTGCTGCTTGCTGAGAAAACGGCAACAATATGCGCACATTAAGGGATGTCAGTCTTAGCGAGGATCAAGGGCTTCAAGTAGAAACAGATGAACTGACTGGTCATCTTGACTGAACAAGGACCTGTCTACTGATCTAGAACGACACAATTGCATGCGAGGTGAGCTTATAAGAAAAGCGATTATCAAGGCAATATTGATCAGTGTAAAATATTTGGGAGCTGTAAACAAGGGGGATAGAAGTGAAGTTCAGCACAGACGATAAGGATGAAGAAACCCAAGTGGGAAATAAGCAGATGGAAAGAGCTTAGCTTCAAAGTTTTCCCTTTTATTCACCCTGCTGGATGCACAAATAGGGTGCCGTTGATAATGCTCCGTGACAGCCAGAGCATCATGAAAGTATGTGGGGAGAATTTCGTTGTACTTCGTGGACAGGATAGTGTCACGCTACCAAAACAAAGACAGGAGAATGCTTTGGGTTCCCAGCTAAAGACTTTGGTTCAAAAACGTGTCTGCAAGGCAGCTGCGCTTTGACACTGGGCTACAAAGTCTGTTGTATGGAGTAAGGAATCATCCTCACTCCAACCCACTACCTGTTTGGCCAGGAAGCTGAGTCGATTTAGCCTCTAACCACTGACCAGTCTGGTATGGGTGGTTCTGAAGATACAAGAAGCACCACCAAGTATAGCTCCATGGAAAGTCGTGGAACGCTTACCATCGCACTACGGTAAGCTCCCGGCTCGTCGCGCTGAGAATTAAGATAGCTTTATTGAAGACCTATGCAATATAGCGAAAGGCTTTGCAAAAGTAAACGTCTCTCAGTGCCAATATTTATTATCAGCTGGGTTTCAGCATCGACAACGTTACGCTGCAAACTACTCTCAAGCACTGCGGCGGTTTAATATGACACAAGACTTAGCCTTTGTGGTGACGGATAGCACTAAAGATATCGCCGCAGTAACCATTTCGCCAAAGGTGATATCGTGAATTTCCTCGGCTGAGTGTGATAAGGTGGAAGACTTCAAAAGGGTTTAGAAAGGGATTAGCTGCAAGCGCCGCCAAAGTACAAATTGTAAGTAGAACTGGCATCCCAGCTACTTCCTTGAGTGATTGTCTAGCAGAAAGCATTATTAAAAAGTGCGCTATGAAAACGCATGGTGTATATGTAAATTATAACGGCACATTTATCCATGCAACCATGAAATTGAGAAAGGTGCCAGAAAGGATTTCGGCCGAATGCTGCGAGTATACTTTAAAATATCCCTAGTGTCAAGAAAAATACAATGTCCTGAATGGTTATTCAATTTGCACGTGTTCTCGCTGTATTATAGGCAACATCACGGTGGCGCAGTTCTTATTCAACGTATATTGAATCACTATATAGCCAATGTACACCTGAACTCAAGCTAGTCACTTCGTTTCTAATCCTTTGTACTCAACCACTATAGTTTACTATCCCATATCTGGCTCGGTTGGGCTTAGGCATACAGTTCTGATAGTTAATCCATCGTGTGGCTCACAAGGGCCAAACCTTGGATTGCTCTTGTTCGCTATGTACGAAGTGAACTGCAGGATCTGCTAGGTTCACCATCCATCATGCTTGGAGATGATTCCATTGCCAGGATCCAATGAAAAATTATGCAGGGCAGCAGGCAAATGACATAAGAAACGATTCTGTTCTGTAGCAGACACTCATAGATTCTGTTAAAAGATTAGATCTACATAAAGTTCAAATGAACTTCCAACGAGGTACTTGCTTGGTGAAATGAATTACCATACGTTTCTCAGCTGGTTAACATAAGTTTAGTCTTGTCATTTAATTTCATTGACAGGTGAGATAAGGCCGCGCGCAAAGCGTCCAGACTTATGCGCATGGTCAGTAAGTTGTCCGGAATCATTACAACGGAAAGTCTTTCAAGCCTAGGTTCAGACATGTTTGAGCCAAGGCGATACTGTGGCCCGATAGCACGAGTGACCGACTGCAGTACCTCGGACTGACTGCTGCAGCGGTCTGATTAGTTGATTATGGTGCCTCGACGGTCCCAGTGAAAGAACTATGAGACAAATTTTGGTCAACCAGAAAATACTATTCAAAGTGGCCTTAAAACCTGCTGTGATCGTATTACTCTAATTGCAAATACGGTCCACTTCTAAAAGCAAACGATTTTTAAAGCGCTATAACGCATTACTGTTAGCTTAAGTATGTGTTCAAAACGTGTATGCTTTGAATTGACAAGGACCCAATATCGGTCTCTCTGCGATAGATTATCAGTCAACCGAGACAATATTATCAAAGGTACCATGGTGTTTGTGGTGTGGTATAGCATTAATGTTATATTAAGAGATTTCCGCTACTTCTTTTCTTGTTTCTTTCAATATTCAATCTTTCGGCCGTCTGTCTGTAATGATGGTGTCCAAGCATAGTTGAGCGTCGTATGCATGGCAAGATGATCCTTGTATAAAAGGGTAGTAAAACTGGGAAGTAGGATGACTGAGGTCTCGCGTTAACGGTTATATGGTGAAAACTAGTGGCTAGGACTGTTTTCCGCGGAACGGTGCAGATCGAAAGGGGACTTGATAGAGAGGTCCAAGATTATGTAGGGCCAGAGTGGTATGAAACTTTCATATCTGATTAAACTAGTTACCTCCAAACACCTGCAGGTAGCATGCACCTGGAGGTATGCATGGGAAATCTAGGCAAATTATTTGCGAAACATGGAGTTCACAGCTAGGACTAGCATCTTCCTGCCTCACCAGAAAGTGATACCGCTGGAGCCGTCCAATATGTTTAGACAAATGCTGGCCGTATCATCTCCGGAAACATCGAAAGTTGCTGAAAATTGTCACCGCCTTGCAACAGGATGGCGGTCTGCTCCGGGCGGCATGTGACGGGGCAGCAGTTTTAGCACCGTCGGTTTTTCGATACAAAATATAAAGGGTAAAATTTCCAGCTAAGCTGAGGCTTGAATATTTTGATGTTATGTAGTGGAAAAGCCAAATTAAAAGCGCTTGCCCACATAAAAGAAGGCTTAGTCTATGAAGTAAGAATGCTGCACCTGCCCTTCTGTAAAGCACAATCCCGGTAGGCCGTCAGTTAGTCGCACCATCCGGTCGGAAGACGAAACTCAGTGGGCACAATAATTCGACGCGTTAGATCAGATGATTGATAAACGAGGCTAGCAGACCGATGACGAGAAACAGCACTACGCGCGTAGCCGAAACCAAAAGGCGAATCGACACCCGAAAAGTCTTTTATCCATTGTTCATTAGTAAAAATAAAACTACAATACATAATGGTAATGGAAGTAGGAAGGTAAAATTTGGAAGAGGGATATGTACACTCGCTTCAGAACTCCCCTAGAGCGTGAGTCACTGAGACGAATGCTCGATACTTATGTGTCAGTTATCGTAGTCTGGAAGGGAGCAGCACTGTACGTCCGAAGCGTGTTCGGTGATGCGAATTCGAATTTGCATCGTGAGATGCTTGGGGTGCAGAAGAGAGAACAGAGGTGACAGATGGGCTGATTAGGAGGCGTACTTGGGAAGGTGGGCTGGTCGGTGACAGGAATGTGTGTGGGTTTCGGTAGTGGTCGCGTCTCGATGTAAGCCGGCTTCAAGCGGTCGATGCACACAGTACCCTGATAAGCATTTCTATCCAGCACGGAGTACTTCACTTTCCGGGAAACAACCTTAAGAGGGCCCTCGTAATGCGGTGTCCGAGGTTTACGCACGGAATCGAGACACGGGAGAAAGAAGGGGCAAGTGCATAAATCCGGGTGTATCTGTTTACTCCGAGGACTCATTGGAGGTGGTGTTGGACGAATCGTACTGAAGTGTTGCCGCAGGCGTGTGATGTACAAGGTAGGCACTATAATTCGACGTGTTAGATCCAAAGATCGATGAATGAGGTTAGCAGACCGAGGACGATCAACAGCAATATCCGCGTAGTTGAAACCAGAAGACGAATCGAAACCGGGAAAAATCTTTTATTGGTTGTTGGTCAGTTAAAAGAAAACTACAATAAATAATGTATATTGGAATAGGAAGGTATAATTTGAAAAAGAGATATGTAAAAGTGCTAGTTACACTTTATGAGCAACGACGCCTTTGCGCTATGTGTCATACCCGTGAAAATGTTCTTCCCACCGATCCCCTTACTTGTCCCATTGTGGTCAATCCCACCACATTTATCACAATGGCATGAAGGATCACCACTTTCACCGAATACTTATGCGCACGTTAGCCTGAGCCGATTATGTGGCCCTCACGTTTTCAGTCAGGGCAAAGATTTTCTCACCGCCCCAGCCAGCAAAAGATATTTTTAAGCCATTGCTTTGCGGTCCATGATCCAAAAACGCACAGAGATTTCTCTTGTGCTTGTTTGTCCCGTGGATAACAACTCAAACCTAGGTATGCCGAGAGCCTTGGCTTGCTTACGGTTATAACAAGCGGGCTCGTTATGCTGGGACCTGTTTCCAGCCTGGAACGTTATCCGATCGGACCAGACCTAATCTGAGATGTCAGTATACATCGCACTAAAATGTATTAAAGTATGCCTCCACAGAGACTCATAATGCTGCTAGTATCAAAAAATTACTACTTTTAATAAAAAAACCACTAGCACAACCGAAATAAATAGCATGATATCATACATAAAACGAATTTAAAATGTAGGGCAGAAAAATCCGCAAAAATTACAAGAAGCAAAACGTTAGGGTATAAACGGTGGAAACGTGCAGATAACTTACCATTGTGTCTGCATCAAGGTAAACGGCTTTAGAAAATTGAACAAGATTCCAGCAATGAATTTTTGTAAAATCTGTGAAACATGCATTCTTTTCTGCAGGGTAAAAAGCTAACGGAAACCGATTCCGTATGTCAGTCACTTCAACTATGTTATCGTATGTGTTTCTTAATATCTGTCTGCAGAACGTTATTTTCTACCTGCGCATACCTCCATTTTTCATTAACATTTGCGGTCACCATGATTGTAAGCTGTTTTGCCGTCTGCACCTGCCTGAGCGATGCACCCAACACCAGCGCTCCGACGCAGTAGGTGTCACAGGTGGCGAGCGTGACATAGGTCTCTCTGCTCATATCACTAGAGGAGGAGAAATGCACTCTATTTCCACATTTGAACTTGTCGAAGCACTGAGTTCATTCGACAAGTTAATGTGATCCATACAAACAACATACGGCTTAACATTACTTGAACTGAACAAGAAAGGTAAAATAATAAAAGTAATTAAATTAACCACTGCTGTTTGCTAGTTTTTTAGCTAAAGTAGTCGTTAGTTAGCGTAATGGATCGGGACATATATCTCATTATTACTCTTGACTAGAAGACCTAGGTACAAGCAATCTGACAATAATGAAACATTGCTAGTTGCATTGCTTAGACGATTCGCTACAGTACAGAGGTAAAGTGTTGTGATCACATTGGCATGTGCAGTCGTTAATATCAGGTCCAGAAAGGTCAGGTTCCAAGGAAGAAAAGAGCTTCTGCTTAAAGAGCTTCGGCTTGTTGAGATAGCACGCGACAAAGGGCTGCTGATAGCTCAACGTTTGTGCCAACTTTTTCAACGCAGGCATATTGAATATGCAGCGCAGTCATTGGACTGGCTCTACAGCCGAACAACCAGCCAACCAAACAGGAAAAGGTAAAAAGCAAATTAATGTAGGGTTTGTATCTGCTTATTGCCGAAACATACAAGCACGACAAAGCCAACGGACACAAGCAGAATGATTAGCTTGGGAGGGGAATGTTTGCATATTCTTGTTGCAAGTGGAGGTAGCGCTCGGGTTGCATTTTTGTGTCTATATAAACACAGTTGGCGAACAACCGGTAGACAACCTGTCTACTTTTCTGGGTGCGAAATAAAGCCGTCATTCGTTGTTAGGTTCCATGTCTTAACGGGAAGAGCATCGTCACAGCACGACCTGCTTTTAGATGGGAACCGCGGGTAACCCTCTGATCTACGTTCAAACTCTCTATGGCTTACCATCCTCCTGCGGTACAGATAGCGAAATCGAATGTAGCTGCTGAGGCAGCAGCGAAGCGTTGGTATCCCAACAGGCTCCCATCCGTGTCTACCCCATGGATGCAAAATCAGGGGAAACACGTTTCGTTTGCTCACACGGCGTTTGGCGTGTGCCCAGTTGTCTTCAAGAGGGGAACCAAAACTTCAGTCGTCATGCATCAGCACTTGACTACATAAAGGAACAACGACGGCACCTATCGATTGCTTATACAGCGTTAATATATGGAATGCTTCGTGTTTTTAAAGGTTGTGTCAATTTTGTGTTTTCAACATCTTTTACTGTTTTTGGGTTCGTTTCCGCCAAACGGAAATAAAAGTGCGGAAATAGGACAATAATATCATGCTTTCTACCCACTTTCCGTGGTCTCATCCACCGGACCTAGTCGAATTCCGCAGTTATGAACTCAGCGATGCATTTACTGCGTCTTTGCGTGCAGACTTTGGGGAGTCAGATGGTGTGCTGCCCGTTACGGCAGCAAAGGTCGGAACTGGTGGCTTGCGATCATCCTTGTGCTTGTCCTCAAGTTCCAGACGAGCAAGTTTGTTTCGATCGATGCTCACCGAATTTTGCTTTCCCTTGCGTATTGTAATAGAGAATTGTGGGCTTTTAATAACCTTATATGTCCCTTCGTATGGGCGTTGTAACGGTCTACGCATAGCGTCAAACAGATGAAAACGTGTGAGCAATGGCTTAGCTCTTTTTGGACACGAACTTGCTCTTCAAGTATCTGGGTAGGAATGGGCAAGACAATGGTAACCCAGCAGCTAGTTGTCGGGAAAACGTGGCTAAGTAATGACAAGCTGTTGGAGCGCGTGCTAATGAGTCTTCAGGATGTCGTACGGTTTTTGCCATAAACCAATGCAGCGCTGGGACTTTAAAGTTAGGTAGTTATTGCCGTTCGAATGCTTGAGAGTACTAGTGACAACGCGTTGGTTCAGTTCCGTGCATCGGCGTCACTAGGTGTTGTCTTGAGCTGCCTACGAAAACGCTCGATTAAAACATTCGAAACTGGTCTGTAGCAGGTGTGCGAATGCGATTAGTGCTTAGCAAGTTAAGCGTCTCTAAGGCCATGCTAGGTTCAAAGTCTTGACTTCTATCGGTTGCAGCTCTTCCGGAACCACCGTTAGCCGCGAGCCAGCGCTCGACGAAAGCTCGCGTGCCTGTTCCGGCTAAGGCTTAGGGCATCAAACTAACACCTGGCCGACCATTCCAGAGATGTATCATTGTCAGCATGTAGACTTTTCCTTAAGGCGGTTTTCACGAGCCAACTATGTCGAGACAGGCGAGTATAAAAGAGGCGAAAATCAAGTGAACTCGGCCAATGGAAACCGACATAGGTAGCTGAACCTTGGACTTCTGACTGGTTGGGCGAATGTGTCCAGAGCCTGATTCTCGTCGCGTGTTAAATCAGATATTCTGCACTAAATCGTCATTACCAGCGTTCTTGCAGCCTACATGAGCGATATTGTGGGTCACGGTAAAAACATGCGACAAATAGTTTGGGCGACTTTTGGACCAGAACGTCCAGTGGGTAGATTGCAAATGGTAGTAACATCTGAGGATGGCAGTGGGTGCGAGGTGGCTTTTAAGCTATAGCTGGTAATGTTTGCTGACAAGCCTTGGCAGGCTCGAGAAGAACGGGAGGCCTGCGTGCTAGTAACTCATTTTGCTCATACCTCTCTATATACTTTCTTTGTCACAGCGTAGTCATTGTATGCTCCTTTGAGCGGGATTTACCAGCTCTACACAGCGACCCGTCTTACATAAAAGGACCTTTAGGATTAAAGCCATCATCGTCACTGTCTTAACTGCCTTCCGTGTTTCAACACCAGGAGCTAGCACAAACACTTTGAGCCAGGTTCCATTCTGTGTGACACCATACGGTACAGAATTATCGGGGCGGTCAGCAAAGTCGAAACATATTCCAGACTTGCGTTTCTCAACGCAGCCGTGAAGGAAGTTGTAAGCTCTGAATCTGTGTTCCGTGCTGCACTCAGATGCATGTACTAGGTCCCAAGCCAGCTGGTCCTAGTCTCGAGCGATGAACGGACCACCGCTAAAACTTGCGCTTGCAAGTGCCCACGGGGGACAGCAATCGAGCTACAAAGCGTCCATATGCTTGGCGTCAACGCGGGAAGCCGCACTAACTGGTTATCCGACAAAAGCGTGACCTTAAAACAGCGTGCTCTCTGCTAACATTCACAAGAAGCGAAAATGTGAATTAAGTGCCAGCTTTGTGAAGCCTTGGCTGGTGTGCATCAGTTGCTCGAAAGCATACCACACTAGGTGCTATGAGGAGAAGCCGGCAGGAAAGAATCGGTAAAACGGCAAGACAGAGCTATTTTGGATTTGTCAAACAAGCAGCGATAGCACCCCATTTCAGCTGTCTAACTGTGCTACTTTATACATGTGATAGACCAATGGTGTAAAGTGAGCAACTGGTCAGCGACAGGGTTACAACTAGCGGAGGGAGAGAAGCTGCACCTGTGTGCGAAAACGAAAACTAAATTCCCCATTCAGGCCGAAGAAGAGCGCCACATGGCGCAACCTAACATCAACGTCCCAGTCCCCAGTATATACAACCCCTACGCTCTCGCATACTTAAGACCCTTACCTGCCGCATGCCCACTTTAACTACAGTACAGTGTGTCGTACCTAGTAGTTCGTTGGCTACCAGGAAAATCGAAGCTACGGTCACCCACCATGGTGAGGAACCAAGCACTATGCGCATCGGTTGCCGCCAGGCAAACTCCGGTAAGAGCACGGGTTACTTTGTTGGCTGGACTGAGGAAACTGAAGAGTCGCAGCACGGATGGCCTCCACTAGTATCGTCCACAAATTCAGCAAATGCACGGGAAACTTGGGTTCCAAAAGCAATAGTCATCAGGCGCAACCATGGTGTTTTAAAGCTCGTGTGCACTAATGTCCTCGAATCAAACTGCAACACGATTAAGCGTAAGCTGACAAATGCGCGACAACTATAGATTTCTAATCGTACTGGGATAGGCGTCCATGCTGCTTTCACGAAAGTAAAGCGCATCTCACGCCACCCGAACTCACTGCACTAAGGTGAACCCAGATTACTCAGGGTAACTTGACTAGGTGGAGGAGCCGGTGGTGGCTCTGCTGTATGCGACTCGGTTTTGCAGCGGAACAAGTGCAGTGCGCATACTACCTGCTACTCCGTGGAGGAGCGTTCAACGTGCCCGACTAACCGAGACAAAAACGGGAAACACAAAGGTAAAAAATTGGTGATAGCACAATGTTTTGCTGCGCTCACAGGTACACTTTCGAGGAAGCTTAGGTACAAGGCCAGTAACAATGGTGCCTACATACGTAAGGCAATGCTCTCAAAACTATTCTCTAGTTCAATGGCAAGGATGAACGTGTCACCTAACTACAATGGTTGCGGTCTCGTGCTTTTGAAACTAGTAATACAGTCGGAAATAGCGGCATAAATCATTCTAAATAAGTTATCCAAGTTCCGTAGCAGGTTGCCAACAGGAATTAGTCTGTAAGCAGCAGGAACCCAACCATGTTCTGTTGCTAACACAGAGGCATCAATCTCAATGAAAACAACCACCGTAGAATCCGACGCGATGACGGTTTTAACAGTAAGCATGACACTCGAAGTTGTACAGCAGATTACGAGCGACCACCGGGGTACCGAGCATCTGCTGTAGGAATACATAAATAAATAAATAGTTTATTCTCCAAGTTATAGCGGCACAACCAATCAGGCATGAGCAACATTTACACGCAGTTATGTTTCGCAACAAACCTATAGTTATTTATGTAAACTGCAGTGGCTAAATTCGTACAGGCTGCGGAACTTGACGAAGTAATCACTAGGGATATACTGGTCTGTGGATAACGAAGCTTGGGTTTAAGTTTACGTAGTGTAAATAGGCGGCATTATAAATGCTGTGAAAAGGTAGATGTAGGCAGCGAGTATTTTGTACTTGTCGAAGTAGGATTGAAATATGAGGCTAGTAGACTTGCCAGTATGTAGTTATAGGTAGCGACGTTGTTCATTGGCGAGTCACATCTGCCACGTCGCATTGTTGTTAACCGGGTTTCTGTGGCTTGTATAGGGAGAACACTTGTCAGGCCAGAACCCACCGCGTCCTGG